CCCCGGCTCCTCCAGCCACATGTCGAAGTGTCCTTGAGCAAGCTACTGAACCTCGAATTGCTCCCAATGCTGTCCATCACTGTGTGAATGTGTATGAATGAGTTAGTTTCTGTTCAATGGACTTTGCCATGAGTGAATGTGTGTGAAAGGGTGAATGTGGCATGTAGTGTAAAAGCGAAGAAGAAGTTAGTTAGATATACAGCAATTCCCTCGTGAGTTACAATTAAACTCATCATTTAAACTTGTATTAGGGTGAAAGTGTCACATTTTGAAGTGGGCAAGCTGTCATTGTATGCATTTAATTGACAGTTACCAAACTATAAATATTTCATGGACATCAACAGTCCAAAGAGTGCATGGAAGCTATGCATTTATTAGATAATTGTGGTAACATTTGAACATTTGATTGAAGAATATAATCTTGTTTTTATAACAGGTAACATAACACAGTCATTAACGTAACCCTGCAAGCACTGATAGGTTTATCAATCAAGGAGATGCTGACTCATAGATTTAAAAAATGCACTAAAAAAGCACACAATTAAGGACTATTCATTTCAGTTTGTTTCCCATCACTATTAAAGAGGAAACACATGTTGCAAGAATACACCAGTCATTTTATAGCTAAGACAAGGACTAATTACCAATGTCGAGGCAGATGACCACCCAACTAGAGCCGAAGGGTCTGTCCGAGGTTTCTGCCTGTTAACAGCAGTTTCCCTGCCCTTTCGGCCAAGTCTTGCTCAATGGTGGTACTGGTTGGTCTCTGTAAAAGTATAAAACGGATCGGTCTAGACCCTGCCTCTATTTGAAAAGTGTCCTGGAGATAGACTCTGTTATTAATTGGCACTAGCTACAAATAAAACTGCAATGAATTGAATTGTTTACCAATTCCACCAAAGGCTACATAAGAGTTGCAGAGTAATGAATATTTGTGTTTCTATGCAAACTCAAACACTGAAACTATAGCACATATCTTTTTCTATGTTCCCATTACATTGCCTTAACCTGTATTCTTTAAATATGAACAGGTGCCCTTTTTGATCGCGATATAAAACAAATTATAGACTTATCTTCAAAGAAACATAACAAAGCGGCTGCCTGTCTGCGCTGGTACGCTCAACACCCCTTTCCACCTCCCCCGGTCGCGAGTTGCTTTTGCAGTTTTCATGTTGTAAAGGCTGGTGCTCATCATGTCGCTTGATGTTGTGAGGTTTTTTTTCCGCAGTCCCCACAACTCGTACCTCCTACAGGAGCAGAGTCTGGGAGCTGCTTTTTTTCTCCTCCCCTCTCCTCTTGTTTTCCCGTTGTCTTGTACCCCCCCCTTTTTGAAATTTCCCCATTGTGGGACTAATAAAGGCATATCTTATCTTATCTTATCAATAATCTTTATTCCTTGTTTTTCTCATTCGAATGTTGCCCTTAATTTGTTTTAACTCGAAAAGAATAAATAATTTAACTGGGTAACTGAAAGAGCTGAATGTTATAGATGTAACAGCACATGCAATCCAACAATATATTTAATTTAATTTAATTGATGTCAGAATATACATTTTTCATCCTAAAAACAATTGTTTACTTTATATACAAACAGGTAAACATGAAGAGTCAATGCAAGGGGGACAGACAGAAATTATAAATTAGTAAAATAAATTATACAAGTAGTTTGGATTGCTTTCTTATTTTACAGTATGGGAGTAATGACATGTATTGTTTGATTCAACATTTAAAAATGATGGTTTATAATTGAAAAATGTTGATTTGTGGATGTGGAATCGATATGCTGATAAATAAAAGCACAAACATCTCCTTTGTTTACTGACTTGTATTTGAATTTTGAAAATAAAATGGTCATTCAAAAACAAAAACACACACAAAAAAAAAACGTTTAAGCCCACGTGATCTCCCAGCTCTCTGTCATGTGACGCACGGGAAGCGAGCGCGCATCCAACAGCCGCGCGCCGCAGCGTCCGCAGACCCCGCTGTAACAGGATGGAGCGCGGAGCGTGTGCGGCGGTTGTTCTCCTTCTCGGTTTGTTTGTGGACCCCTGCTCCTCTCAGACCTACGCCCTGAACGATAAACAGGGTCTGGGGAGAGTTTTTGACGGAATTGGAGGTTTGAGCGGCGGAGGGGTGAGTTCAGTCACTTTTGAATGACTTCCTGGTACGATACGTTCTGTCCACAGAGAGCACGTAAAGTTAGCTGCCTGACTGCTTCTGTTATTGTAGTCCTTTTAACGTTAACAGTGTATCTGCTGGCTCCTTCAGGCGACGTCTCGTTTACTGGTGAATTATGCTGAGCCGTACCGCAGTCAGATATTAGACTACCTGTTTAAGGTACGGTATGAGTCACTCATTCATACAGTCCAGTGTAAAGTAGAGGGGACCTCACTGCTCTGCTTTCTGCTGTCTACAGCCGAACTTTGGAGCTTCTCTGCACATACTGAAGGTGGAGATCGGAGGAGACTCTCAAACCACTGGTGAGTCATATCAAGTAACACTGCAAATGGATTCATATGTCAGCCTATTAGTTGTCAGGAAGTAGTGCAAAATGCCAATACAGGTTCCAAGATGCAAGGTGATCCCTGACCTGACTAACAATAGATATTTAATTTACAGGCCGGTAAAAGTGAGTGAAGTTGCAAATCTTTAAAGCTAGAATAGATGACACTGGAGAAACCAACAAGAGACAGCTAGATTCTGAAAATATCCAACGACAAAAAATCCATCCCCTCCCTTCAGGTATGTCCAAGTCCACTCCCCTTAACACACATGATCACTCGGCGCATTGCTGTCATCTCTAACCGTATCCGACCACCTCATGTCTCATTCACACATACTTCTACGTAAGGCCCACTTTGTACATCCCTGATTCCTCTCCTCGCCTCCTAGGGCTGCTCGATTATGGAAAAAATCATAATCAGGATTATTTGGGTCAAAATTGAAATCCCGATTATTCAAACGATTATTTTTTTTTAAACTTCAAACATGCTGCATTTATTGGACATTTGTTCAGTTACACTTTCCTTTCCCCATAAACATTCTCCTTTTTACATTGACAGTCATAGTGCACTCTTGCAATCTCTACAAAAAGTTAAATTAAATAAAATAACACACAAAAGATAAGCCATAGAAAAACAATTTGTGTTCTCAAACTTTAGTGCATTGCCACAACATTTGAAATTTCCCCTAGTACCTTTCCCTGTAAACATTTCAGTTGTCTGGAGGAATTCATTTTACTTTCTTTTCCTCAAACATTTGTAAGTCTCCTTTAAAAAAGATCTGACGTAACTGCAAAGTACTCCGCTTTTGCCACGTCATTGGCAACTCCTTCCCGACAAGTCTCATATAGTTTTGGCAGAACAGCTCTGCTAAAATGGTGACGAGATGGCACAGCATAACGTTTGTCCAAAGTTTTGATCAGGTACCTGAAGCCTACGCCCTCGACTGTGCTAACAGGCTGCATGTCTTTAGCCAAAAAAAAAAAATTCAAATCATGTGTGAAATGTTTGGGGGTCAGTACCAAACAATCTGAAAAACAAGTTTTGCCAGCCAGGGCGTCTCTGCAGAACTCCAGTACTATCCAGTATAATTCTGTTTTATCACACATTTGACCTTTATCAAATTATTGCAGCTCTTGCAATTTGCATAGTACTTCTGCAATTTGCATAGTGCACTGGGCCATACTGCAGTTTCAACTGCATTTTGATTAATTGTGCAGCCCTAAATGAAAGAACAAGTTCCTTTTGTGTTGCACTGTCTTATGGTTGTGACATTGTCTTTTTAAGATGGAACAGAGCCGTCACACATGCACTATGAGAACGACGAGAACTACTTCCGAGGCTACGAGTGGTGGCTGATGAAAGAGGCCAAGAGGAGGAACCCAAATATCACACTCATAGGTGAGAAAGCACAGTTCTTCTGCCCTACACTCCAGGAAGCTCAGACAAACAGCTGCTGAACATAATAAAGATCATGAGAACGTCTGCCGAGAAACTAAGATCAACTGATGATAAAAGATGACAGGATATCAAGAACCCCTGCTATGTATTCTTTGTAATTGTAAGTGCCTTGGGACCATGCTGCATGGGGATCCTGCTCTTTAAATAAATACACTATTAGTTCCATATGGCATGAAAACATCTGGCATCAGGGCGGCAACAATGCAAAATAATGTTCATTGTTGACTAATCTGTCAATCATTTTCTCCATTAATTGATTAGTTGTTTGGTCCATTAAAAACAAATGTGTGTTTTGTCCACCCACAGATATTTAGCTTACTGTCATACAGGACTAACGGAACCAGAAGCTGTAATCAAAGATTGTGTACATTGTTGTGACTCAAAACAATCGATCAATTATCAAAATAGTTTGCGATTAATAGTTGACAACTTATAGTCATGGAACTCTACATGTTTATTATATCAAAGACTTGCTAGATTTTATTTTTGAAGTCTAAACACTTGCAGTGTTTGTTCATTAACATGTGTGTGTCTTCCTGTAGGTTTACCCTGGGCCTTTCCTGGTTGGGTGGGCCATGGTAAGAACTGGCCCTATGACTTCCCAGACATCACTGCAGCATACGTGGTGAAATGGATCCTCGGTGCCAAGCAGTACCACGACCTGGACATTCAGTATGTCGGGGTGTGTAGTCGTTTTACTTTGTATCTTGTTCCTTTTCAAGCGCCATGCTATGCTAATAGAATTGCACTTCATAACACATCTGCCCAAACCTTCAACCATGCACATACTCATATGCATCTGTGGTTGTGTGGCGACATCTATGACATGAATGCAATTTAAATGAATCTACATGCAGCAATACTTTCTATTTCATGCTACTTTCTAAA